GTGGTTTGTTTGAAAGAAGGAATAAAAAAATTTTTTTTATTCATACCATCAGTCTTTTGTCACAGCCCCAAAGCTTTTGTTGGTGCACCAACAGTGCCGCTCTATCCTACTATCCTGATATGTTGAGACACACACACACACACTAAGCTATATGATATTTCGTTAGCCATAATTATAGATAATTGACATTTAATTGGACTGTCATGCGGCAAGTACTGACATTTTTTTCGCTTTTCCTATAAAGAAGAAAATTTTATTATAAAATAGATAAAAATTAAAATCAAAGTCACGTGATGTGATATGATGTGGTTTGCCTGAGTCTGTGCAAGGATAATAGATAAATAACAGCTTAACGCTAAACTGGACAAACTGAAAAGTCTTGATCGCAATCATCACAAGGGAAATGGGACACAAATCAAGAAGACATGTTCGATTTAATTCTGACTTTAGGTTGTCATCGCTATAGAAGCAAATGCATGGGAATCGCAGTCTTTAATTTTGTTATTCATTTTTTTTTTTCTTAGTCATGTCTTGGTTGCATAAACCAATCAATCAATGAGTCTTTTCGCATTAAAGTCGAGGACATCTCTGTTGAATTGTCACTCCATAGTTTTATGAAGATGGTAAAGTTAAAGTTCAATAGATGCCCAGTTTTTAACTTTATACACTCAGAATGCAATCAAACATCAAGCCTATGGATAATACAGTTTTTAACATATCTTATCTCAATTAAAGAGCCTCTGCAAGTTACTGCGACAAACGGATGGATAATTTGGCGGAAAGACGATGCTAACGGACCCAAAATCGTATACCGTTCGAATCCAAATGCTAACGCATCCAAAAACTTCGCAGCCTAGCAGGCAAAAAAAAATAAGCCTAACAGACTATTAGCAGAACATGAATCTATCATCAACCGATGAAGAGCGAATAAAACTATAAAATATATACTATGTCTTTCTAAAAATAAGAAGGAAAAAAAATTCAAAATTTATTTTAAAAAACACAAGTAAGAATATTATGGTCGCTAAATACCGGCTGTTAGACACCCTATACCACCTCGCCTAGAATACACCAAAAACTACACATTATTTTCATACAAAGGCATAATTATCATGAAAGCGCGCATATTGGAGGGTGCTCAAAACATCACGAGACGTCATCCACATTTAGACAGACAGGCTTGCTTTTATATGAACTTCAGGACTTTATTTAACAAGCTTCGGATTGTCCGATTTGGGTCAAATATGCACCGTTTTGTTGCACGATTTGTTGCCATTTTAAAGGTAACTTCAAAATGCCTCTCTCATAGAAGTCCTGGTCTCCATTTGCAAAAAACTCTAGTAGTCGATTTTCACAATCCTCCCTAGATTCCAATTTGTTATCATTAAAGAAATTTTCCGATGCAAGAAAAAGATGATAATCGCTTGGTGCCAAGTCCGGACTGTATGGCGGATGCATTAAAACTTCCCAACCAAGCTCCCGAAGTTCCTGGCGAGTCACTGTAGATGTGTGTGGTCTAGCGTTGTCCTGGTGGAACATGACACCTCTCCTGTTGGCCAATTCTGGCCGTTTCTGGTCAATCGCTATCTTCAAACGGTCCCGTTGTTGACAGTAGAGATCAGAATTTAGCGTTTGGCCATATGGAAGCAACTCATAATAAATAATCCCCTTCCAGTCCCACCAAATGCATGGCAAAACCCTCCTGGCCGTTAGTCCTGGTTTGACCACCGTTTGAGGTCCTTCACCGCTCTTTGACCACGATCGTTTTCGCACAGGGTTATCGTATGTGATCCATTTCTCATCTCCAGTCACCATCCGTTTAAGAACTGGGTCTATCTCATTCCGTTTGGCCAAGGCTTCGCAGATGGAAATTCGATCCATCATGTTTTTTTCTGCTAATTGGTGTGGCACCCAAACATCGAGCTTCGTTTTGAATCCAGCTTTGTGTAAATGGTTTAAAACTGTTTTATGGTCGATTTTTAGCTCCTGGGCGATGTTACGACTGCTAACATGCCGGTCAACTTCGATGATTTCTCCGATTTTATCGACATTTTCGACGACCGGCCTACCTGTGCGAGGTGCATCTTTAACATCAAAAATTCCTGAACGGAATCTACGAAACCAAAATTGCACATAATTGGCTGTTACAGTATCGGAACCATAAACACCATTCACAATTTTAGCCGCCTGGCTTGCATTTTCGCCTTTGTCAAAGAAAAACTGTAAAATGTACCGAATTTTCTCTTTGTTCACTTCCATTTTTAACACGCTGTAACTCACAACTGAATGCACCAAACAAAAAACAGCAAAAGAATTTTTTTTACTGCGAAATGTACAGTATGTAAATGTACAGTATCGGAAATTGTTTGATCGATACTTTACGAGAAATCTATCAGTGCAGCCATCTACCGAAAAAATAATGGATTTCTTTTTCCCCAAACTAATATTATATATTAGGGTTCAAAAAAATAGACCTATGTGATCCAAGTCTCATACTGTTAGTTTTTCTCTTAAATTGCTACTATGGACCAATTTTCGTCCTAAAATATTATTTTTCTAAGTACCTTACCATTCCTGAGGAAAATATAGAGCCATGTGCTCCATATTCGGTAAGATTGATTTGTCTGTCAGTTTAATACTATAAACTAATTTTTACGTGAAATATTGAAAATTTAACCTTTTTATCATATAAACATTCAGTCTCCGTAGGAGCCGTTCAAAATCGGAGTGGTACAAAATATTGCCATAACCGAACCAAATTTTTCATACCAATTTGAAATGTCGAAATGCTCAATTTGGAATTACTCAGCGGGTTTTGTCGAGAATTTTTGAAAATTGCAATTTTTTCTCATATAACATTTTCTTAAAACAATGAGGAGTAGCCGAAAAATGAGATCGATCCGAACCATTTTCGACAGGATTCATTCTTGAGTCGAAACAGGCCAGTATACCAAATTTCATCAAAATATCTCAGAAGTAGCGAACTGCAGGTTGAACACAAAAATAAATGGACAGACATCGGATGGAAAAACAAGCTGGAGCCGGTTCACAATCATTGGCATAATAAAAGGAGAGACCTCTTAAGCCCTCCTGGGTGTTTCGTACGTTCTTGCAAACTTAATATATCTTTGGACCACAAGTGGTGTAGGGTGTAAATAGATGAAAAAAGGAACGAAAGCTGAACGTGTATACAAGCATTAATTAACGCTAAAGTTCATGGCGTTCAAAGACAACAACCACTTCATCAATAATAGTATCCGTTATTACAATTTAAGAGGCCAGTGCTTAACTGCGATCGATTCAGGTAAAAGCATAAGGCCCAGTATATAAAATTACTAGAGAACGAACCACTGGAGAAATAAAACATTCTCTTAGGATATACTGCGTTCCTTTTTTAACTTTGCACATAACAAAAACAGGATACACGATCTAAAAGTATTCATATGAAAGACGTGCAGAAAATAAAGAATAGAGAAAGTAGGATTAATAGATTAAGCAGTCAATCTTTTCGGGGGCTCAAAGTCAAGGCCGTTAAGAAGGAAATGTCATTTTAAATAGACTGCGAAATGAAACCTTTATGTAAAGAGGTGTGTGGAAGATTGGCCCTTGCTGCTGAAAATAAACATTGTTCATAACTATAGTTGAAGAGGTTTTTCGACAATTTATCTTGGACTTTCATAGTTCCAGAATCGAAAATTTTAACTGTTTACATATCAATAGAGATGAGAATGAGTCACTTGCAATAATTTTGCTTCAAAAATCATGATCCCATTTGGTTTTGGCTGTATACAGCAGAAATTATGTCTGCAAACGTCTTACGTTTTATTTCTCGTCGCATTGTCATGGGGAACTTAAAATTAACTTCCCGCCAAAATGCCCCATATTTTTTCGCTAATACGTTACTTGCGAAATAGTTGTTTTCGGTTTAGAAAAAAGCTCTTTGCAAAACCTGCCTTCGTTTCTACTTTCAAAAACTATAATAAGAAACTAGACCACCTATGTAACCCAGCTTCAAAACATTATCTTAATAAATAAAATCTTATAACCTTAAAAACATTTTATGGTAATCAGAAAAATGTACTTAAAACTTCAAAATATGTGTTCGTAATTACGCTTCACCTTCATTAACAAACAGTAAAACTTAAAATTCCTTCCAGTTAAATTTTGTTCATGTTGTAAAAATAGTACGTTGCTTGCATCATTATTGTTTTTTAAATATTTAGTTCCGATTTAGTTCTTTCACGTTAGTTTGTTTTTAGTATCGTTAGAATTCAAATGTGAAAATGTGTTATTATTGCAGCAGAGAGCCGAACTTGTGTTGTAAAATTTCTTTGCCTGGTATAAATTACGTTTACTAAAAAACGTTAATAATAAAACAGATGGAGTAACGTTTTCACTGGGTATTTGAAATATTATGATCAGCATTTGAAGACCATTTCAGAACCAAACAAAATCAACCAATAATCCTGATTAGCTATTGCTATACCTTAACGATTTAGATCAAGAAATTTTTAAACAAATTTTTAGAGCGGAAAACAATTGATCTTTTTACGCAGGTCCTCCGTCTGCGCGTAAACTAATAATTTTAAAGAAAATCTCTTAATTCTCTATCTAGTTTAGTGAGATCATCTTAAACATATTTTTCGCATTACACTCTAAAAACCTCAAAGAAATAAAAACAAACACAGACATTTTGATAGATGAAATAAATTTTAAATAAAATTTTCACAAAAAATTAATCTTAAAAAACGATTCATTTTATTTATGTATGTATATGTATTGTTTTTAATCAACCAACTAATTATTAGAAAAGGCAGTTATTTTGTACAACAAGAATTGGTTGACGTCTATGCTAGATAACGTATGTACAAAAACTTAATTCACGTAAATTTCTTTTCTTTTTCTCACTAAAGTCTTAGTTGGCAATGCTAGAAAAAAAACAGCTGATATTTGTTTATTCCCACAAAAAAGCGGTAGCGGATTTTCTTTGAGACAAAGTGTTTTATTGACATTAAAAGCAAAGCTTCATTTTTAATATAAATCAAAATTTTTATAGAAAACTAAATGTCTTTAACGCTGGATGTAAATTTATTTCTCAATAAAAGTATGTGTAACAACAGCTCCTCCGAGTACATTCCTTTGGAAGATGATCCAGAAATCAATATATTCGATGAAATAGAACATTTGCTTAAGTTTAATCAGGTGGGTGTGTCTTTAGTAACGGTAATTAAAGGACATATTTCTAACCGTTACTATTTCAGAATATGGATTATAACGCTGAAAGGAAAAGCAATGAAAGCAATCAATTGAATTTGAATTTTCTTCATAACATTTGTCCTACGGAGGATTTTTTATTGGCCTCTGATAGTCAAAGTCTATTGGGGGAAGATCCTTTACTGTTTACCGTCGAACAAGACGTTTTACAACCGGTTAGCTCAAAATTTCTGGTACCTGGCATTTATAAACGTATTGCTGAAGTGGACGAATTGTCCAAGAGGCAAGTCATTGAACCATCGGATAGTGTGTTCGTTAGTGAGTCGCAAGGTAGAATAATAAAACGTCAAGATTTCCATGATTTATATGCATTAACCGATGAATGCGGTGAACCTCCACCAAGAAAAGTATTGCTGTTGCAGTCAATGGAAGCGAATTACTCGGATGACATAGAAGTGGTAGATCCACAACGGGTACCCAAACGCTGGGATGCTTTAAATCATTTCGCTTTCGATAAATTAAAAATAACTAATCATGACCATATAGTTATTGATCGTAAACGTAATGAAGTCGTGCGAACAGAACGCAATACTGGTCAAAAAACAATTTACCGTTTTCTCGATCCCCAGGCAATGGGTTTGCAAAGAGCAGAACAACGTCGCGGAAATAGTGCAAATGTAAATAACATGGGCGATTTGAATTCTTGTGAAAGTAACAAGCCAGTCACAGAAAAAAACTTAAATAAACGTAAAATGAAAGCAGGTCGACCGCCAAAACATTTGCAAGGACTAGTTAGGAAACAAGTCCAAAAAGTTGAGGATAAAACACAACCGAAGATCAAGGCACCTAACTTAGAGCTCAGGACGCGCTCAGGTCGTTTAGTGAAATCGCCAGGAGAAACGATAGATTGGGCAAAAGAAACCACCCTAAATACTTCAACCGATTTTAACGCATTTTTAAACGAACTCCGTGATGGAAATTACCGAGCTACCAATGCTCGTCAAACTAAAGATCCCATTTTAGCAATACCAACTACAGATGCTGAGGCGGAAGCTACACCCAAACGTAAAGTGCCACCTGAAGCTATATGTCCCACTTGCTATAAAATATTTTTGGGACGTCGTTTACAAAAACATTTTGCACAACATCCTGATCACATGAAAATTGCAAACAATAATAATATAAGCGCCTCATCTACCGTAGAAGACGTTACATTGTTTCGCTTCCTTATAACAAAACTGCAAAAATCGCAACATCTTAATGAAGATCAAAAGGCTGATTTGTTTCTTAATGAACTCAATGATTTCGTGGAACAATTACAATTGCGTAGTTCACGTCTTGTACGGAATACCACTGGTATGCACTTTGTAAATAACCGCTGCTCACGTATCCTAGGCATTCCGGAAGGACAATACGCCTTAGACTTAACCGCTATGGAAGATTTCGAGACGCCACAATTACTGCACTATGAACATTCCAATCCGCCGGCTTTACCGAGTGGACCCTCTCAGGTAAATACACGCAGTTTAGATTATACAAACCTATCGATTACTATGGACGAAACTCTGACCGATGAAGCGGCACAAAAATTAAATCTTTCGGCGGGGGGAAAACTATTGCCACCGTCAGAGGAAAGCTTGCTTAGAGCTGTCGACGATTTGGTGCATACCGATATTAATAAAATCCATGCAAGCAACTTGCTACAGCCAGTTGTTACTAACTCAAAAACAACATCGGTTAAAGGTGCCACAGTTGTTGCCAATTTATTGCCACTCCATATCGACCATGTCAGTGATAATGCAGTGGAAGCAGTTAGTATGAAGGACATTTCAACGGCTGTTACACAACAGAGCACACCTTTACTGGATCTATCGGTGGATTTTTTTCAATTTAATAATTGATTAAAAAATCATTGCAAACATTTTATCAAAAGGAAATTTTTAAATTTTATAGAAAATAAAATTAACAAAAATTTCAAAACAACTTGAAGAAAATGCTATAATTTTTGTTAAGCTAAAGGATTGTAATGGAATTTGCAAAAAAGAATTCTCGATCAAAGATGTTAGTTTAAAATTGCCTTACGATTTTAATGAAAACTCTCTGGACACTGATAAAATAGAACCGCCAAACACATGCTTTGCTTCTGCTCTGCTTGTAATGTGATTCTCTACATCGATCTTCGTGTCACAATACCCTTTCTATGTTTATGACATAATTTTCCACGTCGATCTCCGGAAAACTTTGCACCAATTTACTTGTACAATGAATAATTGATCAAAACTTGTTTGTGGCCTAATCTACGCGACGGACATAATTGTGGGAATTGTGCGTAATCGTTTAAGATGTGGTCAGCACTCTTTCATCTCACTTCAAAAGTCCTGTCTAGCATAAAGAGGCGGCTGTCAGCCTAGTCGTCCTTATCGCTATACAATTTGTGACTTCAATCCAACTTAACCTACAAACAAGCTATGTGGCGGAGATGTAGATAAAAATTTGTTAAACCTTATTATAAAATCCTATCATGTGTAAACATGTTCAAATGCTATTAATTGCTAGTAACAGGCCCTTTTTTTCATTTACTTAACGCTTACATATAATAAAAAATCATTTTGCTGTACACTGTTTAAGGTTAGCATGACACGCACGTTTATTTACACAAATTTTAATTTACAACACTAACCGCATCCATGACAGTGGCTATTAACGAAAATCACTACAATTTTTCTATTTGTTGTGCACTTATCGCATCCAACTGATCTCGAGGACTTGTGACTATATAAGTTTTAAATACAAATAACAAGTGATTATAGTTGCTTGGGACATTGTATTAGAAAGTATTGGAAATGCTGCTTTATAAGGATGAGTAAGAGGGTCTTAAGTAGAGCGAAAAGGAATAGCGTGACTGCCATAAATTTCGGTAAGATATGTAAAACCTTTTTGAAAAGAAATGAGATTTGGTTATCCGCCGCTTAAAAAAGTTTGGAAGAATTGCCTGCCGATGGAAATATTTTGGTTTTTTATTTAACTTATATGACATTTCTTTTCAATTTGTATTAATTTAGTTTCAATTTTAAATAATGCAGCGAAATTCTTTCTTCTCTTATTCACCTCTCCCTCTCTCTCACTCTATCTCTCTCTCTCTCTCTCTCTCTCTCTCTCTCTCTCTCTTTTTTTCAAAACATACTTAGAAGATTTCCAAAAGAATGCTGACGATATGCGAGTAGCTTTTCGGAATAAACAAAGTTTTTATAAAAATGTGAAATGCTATTTGGAAAATACTACCTTGCACGGCTTAAAGTATTTAGCTGAGGATAAAATTACCGTAACGGAAAGGTAAAGGAAATTAGGCATTTGTTTAGTCCTATGAGTAAATCAAATTTCTTTCAATTTAATTCACATTACAGGGTATTCTTTGGTTTGTCATTTGTATTAGTGGTCACGCTTTCATCATTCTTCATTTCAAATATATATGGGAAATGGTCGGCATCGCCTATAATTGTTACATTAAGTGCTAAACAAACTATGGACACTGATATACCATTCCCGGCTATAACAATTTGTAACTTAAATCAGGCTCGAAAAAGCAAAGTTCAGAGTATTGGAAAGTAAGTCTTCAACCTATCCCTTTCGGATAAAAACTTAAGTAACTTACATCGGCAAAAAAAATGAAAATGATGAAATAATAATATTAAATAATATTAAAGAAAAATCATATAGATTATCCCAATCCATTAGCTATAGTAACTGGGCTCGATATATCGTATTCTAGCAGAAGTCTAGTAGAAGTTATACAAATGAATTTATTTCTTTTTGTTATACCTTACTCTACTTGCGATGCAAGTGTTTATTAAATATATGCACTTGCATATAACATTCGGAAGGATTTAAAATAGACCCGGCTTTTTTAAAGCTTAAAGTTGATGGAACTCTATGCACTGACGAATTTTAGCCCATCGACGAACCGCTTCCCTTATAACTACCTTTTGAAAAAAGTCGTTATATAGGAACAGCTCTACAGTGGAGTGGAGTATTTAGTGGTGAGCCGTGGCCCACTATAGCGTTTTACTTGTTAAATTTCAATCAATCAATATTTTAGTGCTCGGAATAGTTACAGAGATTCTATTTTATAGACAAATGTCATCCGATTTCGTAAATATTAATATCCTAATATGTCTGTTGCTACCTTTTTATTTAAGAAGCAGTTCAAATTTTTCGCTGATATTAAGTTTATGTAATCAAGAGTCTAACGACCTGAATGTCACTTATGTGGGAACTTGGAAAAATTTTAAGGCCATCTTAACTAAGGTAAAGCAAATTTCATTGCACGAAAAAGAATTACACTCTTTAAATACAATTTAATGCGTGTTTGTAGGTAGCTCAGCCCTGTAACGAGATGTTACTCTATTGTAGTTTTGGCTCACGCATAGAAAACTGCTCGAGCATATTTCGTACGATACTTACCGATGATGGCCTCTGTTGTACATTTAACGCTTTGGATCCAAAGTATCTGTTCATGAATTACAGGTAAAGTGAATAGATGAGAAAATTTATTTCCTAGACTCAATGACACAATGCGCATTAGTGAGGATAATCTTCTAAGATCGCATGAGGATGAGGAATACACTGCAATCGATTGGACTCCCGATAAGGGTTATGGTAAAAATTTACCTGTAAAGTTTTCGCCGCGAACATCAGGTGGTATTGGTAAGAATATGGGTTTAACGGTCATCTTAAATGCGTCATCCGACGAATATTATTGCAGTAAAACAAATAGCGCAGGATTTAAGGTAAAAAGAAATCAAAAAAAAAAAAAAAAGGCAAAAAGAAGGATTAAAAATTTTGTTGATATGTTTACATAATAAACCAACAGTTTCTTGTTCACAATCCGGCCAATTTACCAAAAATTTCGAATTACGGCATCCTTTTGGCGGCAGGACGAGAGGCTTTCATACCTGTATATCCAATTTATGAGGATGCTGGACCTAAAATATACTCCCATAAGCAAGCAGTGCGCCGTTGTCTATTTTCCGATGAGGGCAACTTGACTTACTATCGATCATATTCCCGCGAAAACTGTCGATACGAATGTGAAGCCCGTCTCCTCCAAAAAATATGCTCCTGCGTGCTCTATTACTTACCACGTAGCGATCCTACTATTCGTATTTGCGGTCCTAATGATAATCTATGCACTAGACGCTTATTAATGAAAATTGAATCGACCAACGATTCACTAGCATGTGACGGTTGCTTGCCAGGTTGCTTCGAATTATCATACCGTACGGGTTTGAGTACATCGCCAATGATTGCTGGCACTTTCGGTAATTCCAATGGTGGATATCCTGAAGGAATTTTCAACAGTACCACTGGAATTCGTGATGTATCGATAGTGCATTTCTTCTATACTACAAACACATTTCGTAGCACTACGAAATCGGAAATCATAGGTCTCACAGAATTTTTATGTAATTTAAAGATTTTTCTTGATTTCTTGGCCTAAAAAGAAAAATATATTTAAATTTTATAATTATTACATATTTTAGCTAATACTGGTGGCATCCTAAGTCTATTTATGGGTTTTAGTATATTCTCCGTAATTGAAATCTTTTACTACGCAACCTTGAGACCTTATTGTGTCGCGCGTACGAATAAAAAGAGTCGTATTGTTTCTCAAGAGGATATCAAGGTAAGAGACAGAATTTATGTAACTTTTCAGTTGCTATTTACGACATACACAACTAGCTGTAAGCGTCGCATGAATTTTATCAATGTTTATGGGAAATACTAGGAAAATAATAATTTTCGCATTCGTTTATAATATTTAGAAACACGCGTTGGCGATAATCGTCTAAGGTATCTACGGCATGGCTTTTCATCAAACATTCCGATAATAGCAAAAGATAAAAGAGAAGTCGTCCCGATTTTTAATAAAAGCTCCCCGTTCCCCGTTCATATTAAGGCCAGTTATCGAAGATATTTAACTCTTCTATTATACTTTGCATATATTCGGATAGTAGGTCTCGCTAAGCATCGCCATCGAGTGTTACGGCCTGAATGCCTTTATTAAAATACTCCATAATCTGCCAAACTTGAAATTCAAATTAAACTTTTCACCAAAATAGTATTTCTTATAAGATTTGAAGATTCTGCGAAATTCAAATATGGAACTCGGTGACTGAAAATGAGTCCCACAATAAGCAATTTATGAAAAATTCTCATTGACTTGAGTACTTGGTGGCGTTCTCTGTTTAAAACACAAAAGAAGGCAATGTGTAAACAGAACCTTTAACGAACGTTTAATGAACGCCAGAGTAAGGCAATAAACTTAATTGAGGAGCCACTTAGCCATCTTAGCGATTGTGCACATTCGCTGAGTGTAAGTTGGCGTGGACTCTCCAACTATCATGTATGCTTTGCATGTAAATCGAAATTATTACTATTTGTTTGCTAAGGCATTTGTGAATTATGTAATCTCCAGAGTTGCTGAAACATAAAGGATTCAAATTATGACAGTAGAACCGAAAATTCGACCAATTCTAGTTCCATGAGTGCCTTACACTGATTCAAGCCTTCGCCTCCTAGAATCTTACGAATTTTGTCTAAAAAACCAATTCCAATCGTATTATTGGCAAACCGACTTAAACATGCAAGCTGCGCAGTTTTTGTTTCTTTATAATGGATACACTATCGTATCGTACGTAAAATTCTATATTGGATTGTCTAAAAAGCTTTCGCCTTAAAAAGTTGATATTAATTTATACCTTTCAACGAATCGAGTACATATCATTGTTACATATTTCGTCTTTTATCATTTACAGAGACGCACTAATGGAAATAAAAGTAAAAGTAAAACTTGGCTTCGGAAATCAAAAAGAAAACTAAGGACGAACTTTTATAAAAGTAATCTAAATTCAATATTATTGACTTCAAATGACTATGATAGCAATCTGAACCATACTTTATATCCCTACATTGAATAAATGAAAATGAAAAAGATTTGAAAAAAAGAGGTATTTGAAACTAAAACGAAAGCATAAGCAGTAAGTAAGAAAATCAGATTTTTCTGTGGCCGAATCCTTCATCTTCTTAAAAAAAAAAAGTGTAATTTCGATACTGCTTTAATATTAGCTATACGTGAGCAATTTTTTCCACTTTTGAACAGAGACTGTAGGGCCATCCATAGAATGTGCCATGAAATATTTGACATTGGATCTTACGCAGTTTAAAAGTCTTCCCAACAGAAATGTCTTTAGTTTATAATGTTTACATAGGTGTGTCCTCTTACCCATTTTCAATGTTACCATTACGACTGTCAGATTTCCCAACTTTAAAAAAACACACACACACACACACAACACCAGACTTGAGATATATGTCCTCTCATCTTCAACCTTCTGACCTTCAACGGTACGACAGAGGAGGCCATCAGCAAAGTCGCCACGCTTCTATTTTATCTTTAAGAAATCTAAAAAAGTCATTTATGTAAAACTGATCGTATATTTAATGCCTAATAATCAAACTCAGCGATGTGTCGACTTAACGTTACTAGCATAAGAATATCAAAAACTTTGTGATAGAAGGTTCGAATCAACCGCGTGCCCCGCTGTTAATTCGGACCGCGCTGCATTGAAACTAAGTTATTCGAAACTTTTTTGTTTAAACTAAAGTATCATAAAGAATAACATAATTTAAACTTAGATATAATATAAATTGAAAAATATGTACCGTGTTGTATCCAGATGCTGCTGTACGATACCTTGAAATATTGCAAATCAGTGCAATGTGTACCGTGTGGTATCGGAACCAACTTTTCTAGTGCAAAATTTTACGATGTGTATTTTATCATGCATGTCTGTTCCAAGTGTAAGTTAATGTCAAGTTTTGATGAAATCCGAAAGTTAGAAATATATTCAAAAAACTAACAACGAAATCGGCTTAACTGATCTAGCGTAGAGCTTGCCTATTAAAATATTGTGCGCATTTAGAAGGGCAATCCAAACGATCGTTAACTCGTTCATGGTGCGTGAAATAAAAGATTTAACACAAGTAAGACAGTACTATACCCGGGCAAGGCTGACTATTAGATACCCTGCATCACTTCTCCTGCAATATTCATTCATTCATTTAGGATGGTAACACACACAAAATTACATATTATATTTATGTTAAGGCACACTTTTAATCCTTGAGCATGGTCAATATATTGACTATCGCGGCAAACTCAGTTTACTTGTTAACAATTTTATTATTTTTTAGTTGCTTCCGTCGTAAGAAACAACAAAGTCGACTTTTTCGTCATAGAAGGGCGAGAGTCCCTCTATATGATGGTGTCAGAAAAGCATGCCTATATGATATATAATTTTAGTGCGCTTAATTCGTATGGTACGTTGCTCCTGTGGACCCATTTTCATTATAAAGCATTCAAAACTAGACATTTTTCGCTCAGAGGATTTAATATTACACAATTATCCTTGTAGGCGATGATGTCCCAAGAATAGGCCTACTTAATCCAAATTCGATACCGCTGTGCTTTACATCAAATTACTCTTACAAACTAATTTTCATCATAAAATATCAAAAATTTGATATTTTTGTCATATAAAGAATGATTTTCCATTGGAAATCCTCAACGGGATGGAATCCAGAAAGTAGATCTTCACAATTCAAATTCGGTAAGGTAAATTTTTAGGTCAAATTATTATTATTATAGACAAATTTTCATCAAGCAATATTGAAAGTTACACCGGTTTAGCGTATAAAGATTCTGTTTTCGGAAGAACGGTTATGTGAGAGGGAGTTCAAAAAATTGGCTCCAAAATACGATCCATATTTTTCATATCATTTTAAAAACACTACTAACAAGCGATTTTTGCCGCCAAATTTTGAATATTGCAATATTTTTTCACATAATGAGTTTTCAGAATAAGGCGTCATATGGAGAGTGATCGAGAAAGTGGTCCGTTTCAATAGCATTCTTCGCTGGGTCGAAACATATCAGTATATCAAATTACAGCACAGCATTTCAAAAATTCTGGGCAGTAAGCTTAACGCAATAACATATGGATCGACTTCGGACGGGCGGATGAGCGTCGTTCGATTCAGAAAATAGTTGCGAATCGATCGGTATAATAAAAAGAAAGAAGAAATCTCAACTCCACAATTGACGTAGGGTATAATAATGATGACGATCACAAAAGACAACAGTTAATCAGTTATTTTTAATATATTTTTTTTTTTCTCAAAGTTAGATGAAACTCCTCCCATTGACGGTGAAATAAAAATGAGAGCAAATATCAATTGTGAAAAACAGATATTCGATTTTTTGAAATCATGTGGTATTGAACATCGAAATCGTGCTTCGAAATAGACTTCAGACGTATAATGTTAAGCAGGGGACGCTTGTACATTTGTCGCTGTTCTTTCTTTGGTTTGTTTGAAAGCGACCTCTTGGCTACTAAGGGGAGCGTACTCTTTCTCGCTCAATGTATAAAGAATGTTTAAGCAAGTCTCTCTCGAATATGCTTCAAGACGAAAAACAGTAAAAGATATTGTAGAAGTGAAGAAAGACAATGAAAAGAAAAGCTGAAAAATTAGTGGAGAATGGCAGAAAAATAAGAATATTGGATGATGTATGCTAAATGAATTGAAGTGAAGTGATGAAACAGAGTTCAGATCCTCATAAAAAGTGTACTGTTTATGTGAAAGATATACAAAGGACTTAATGTAAAACTAGCTATACGTTATCGTAGCGACCATGAATGAGACTCAATATTTACATCTCCAGAATGACGATGACGGGAGTAAATGAATGTAGCGTTTTTCGAGTTAATAGCAAGTATATGAGCAAAAATTGGGAAATATTCGGTTTAGTGAATTCCCAGTATGGCAAAGATGCAACGAATATTAACAAAATAAATGCGAAAATGCTGCAGTCGTTTGTGTAAGAGCTCCTACCAATACCGATAGATTGTCTCAATGGGTCTGGTGGATCAGTGTTCAAATTTCTATTGAAAAGAGAAAATGAAAAATACCGAAATTCGTGAATTGCCTAAAATTGACGAATCCTCCTTTCGCCATAATACATGATCCATGAAAAATGCGAAAGTTTCCTTACTAGCGATGAACAATGTTTTCAGTAACGACTATTACGCCCTATACCACTTGTGACGCAGGCCATTTTAAATTTGCACGGAAATTTAAAATCATTTTCTAAATTGATTTGGGCTTGTCTGTCCGAATATGAGTTTATTGTCTGCCCACAGATTTTTGCTTTCAACTTACTGTTTGCTAATTTTGAGATATTTTGCCGAAATGTTTTATGTGTTTGAAGTGCTTTCGCATTGTGGAAAATGGATTGGATCAGAGCTGTTCTACAATCTTGTCTTTCTCGCCTCCAATCAGCATAAATTGTTACCTTCCAATATAAAATAAAGTTGGAAAATTTGGATTGGATAGGAGCGCTTTTCATGCAGTCCTTCCTACGAAAAACAAACCCTTGTACGCGAAGCAAAAGTCGAGTTTTTAATAAATTATGGACGATTGTCATGAAAAGTAAATCCTTGTTTTTAGTACTTTAGTATGTCCCCCTGTCTAACGCGATGGCAGTCGCAAAAAAGTGAGGAAAGAGAAAGAAAGAAAGAAATACGGAAGATGGTTGTCGCAGCCTAACGGATGTGTGCCCAATCGATAAGTTTTACGCCCTCAACGACTGAGCACTCATTACGACTATCACTAAAGCACCGCACGGAGATTTGAAACCGCGAACCCCACTGACTTGGTAATTGCGATTCTTACCTATTCTTACCTACTCGGATACTCATGCGAATCAATGGTATACCAGTCTCGCTTCACGAGTGGGTTGATTACATCCCCGCATCGCATCGGAAACAGCGGCAAACACACGAAAATATATAAAAAATAATAAAAATTTTGACAAGAAAAGTATTATAAATTGCTATGTTTGCGTCATGTAGTTTCGCATTTTAGGCTCGCTCCCATATAAGAGTTCCCATGAAAAGCTCGCTTAGTCTTGAAATCAAAATATAATTTTTGTGATTTTTATCTCGAAAACAAATGAAGAATTGTATTAGGCAATGTAGTTTAGGGTATTTGAAAGACGGCCTTGCCACGTCATGTCAAGTGTATTTTATAAATTACTTCAAGCGCTTGATAAATAAATAAAATAATATCCGCCTGAGTAGCCGAAGGGGAGGAATCTCGACTAGCAAGTCAGTGGTCGTGGGTTCGAATCTCAAGTGCGGTAGAGTTTTTAATAAAAAGCCGATAGCCTTAGATGCTAGTGCTTTTAAGAGTTTAGTCTTAGAATTTATTTCTCTGGCGAAATTAATAATAATAATAATAATAATAAATAAAATAATAAATTCAAGTTAAATATATATGAGTGCGTGTAACCAATGTAAGCAAAGCCAAATTTCTTTGCAGCCTTTTTTGCAAAATTATTGATAAAATTTTCTTTCATTGAAGTTTGCCGCTTTATGTAAATGTCTCCTTGCCTTCATGTATATACATATATTCTGCGACTTTAGTAATAAGCGAGAATGCCTGCCTATATTTGGTGGAGGATAAGGTAAGGTATGCCGTTCGATTGGAGATAGCAAATTCATTGGCAATATGTGAAGCATATCAATTGTTTTGTGTTTTTAAATTAAAATAATGACTTTCATTTCGTTTTGCAAATTTCTACAATACTAAACTAAATGAATAACTTATTAAAGGCTCAATACTTTTTAGATAAACTATAAATATAAAATATTACTAAGAAAGTACTAGGAATTATTTACCCAAAGAAATGTTGATTAAATGCTGCGAAATAAAATCTGAAATTTCTATTAGATCAGCGCTAATATAAGCGACATTGTAATGATAAAACTGCAATGTAATATTTAATTATACAATTTCATCATCATTCACGCTAAGTTGAAAATGAAAACGAAACCCGCCAAATATTTTGGTCAGTTTTACTTAATAAAGAGAACGATTAAGCTTTTTAACATTAATCGTGGCGTTACTTATTGCAAATAAATAAACAAATGCACGCACACACACATGCACAGCAAAAGAAAATATTACTCAAAACTATTAATAAATTACTAATAGGTTGTCAATCACTTTGAAAACGACGCCATGTCGACTACAAATCTTATATTTACCTATTCGCTTACGTGATGGCACAAATTCGCTCCTCCTGCTCCCTCTAAAAAAATAGAAAATAAAAAAAAACGAATAAAAAATATATTATCGTCTATCATTTACTTCCATGCATATGCAAGGCAGCTACAAATATGGAACACGACAAGCAAACATTATAAGCAATTATTTTGCATATTTCGCCGAGTTTTCTCTTTCGATATGTACTTCTTCTTATATGCCTTTCAAATAAGGATATAAACAAAAATTTCTAACCCAAATTTTTAAAACTTAATTTTTATTCTCCTAAACTCTATGAGGGTGTGTACACCAACCAACCGCACAAATATGCTCATAATTTATATTCATAGCGAGTAGTCTGAAAAAGTATTGCGCTTGTCGCTTATAAAATAAATTTCAGTCTCACAAGCAAAAGTTTTCGAAAACTTAGCCTCTGATATCAGTGGATATGGAAAAAGTTTCTATTATTCTTATATTCACCTTATATGTTCAGATCAATTGTCCAAAAATTCGAATCAAAATCATTTAAAAAATGTATGTCGACATTGATTAACAATAAAAGAATTCAGTGAGATTTCTTTTACAAAACTTCGATATTCAATGTGATTGATCGTAAAGGGCTCCCGATCACAGAAAAAGTTAAATGTCGATATGAGAAGATTCACATAATTAAAATGAAACAGATTTGCTCGTCCCAGTTTCCATAGGGAAATCTCTTCTGAAAAGTGATGAAAAGTTGGTAGGCAAGCGATGCAATGCGACGCACAAAAGAGGGACAGCGAGGCATAGGTCTGTGGTATATGTTAAAGATTACGAAGAACTTTATCATGTCACTTAACAGGTTAAAGCATCACATTATACTGTGACCGACAACCAACTCCTCCAACAGACTGATATTGCAAATGAAATCAAAAAGCTTTGCCGGATGCCTTTATATACAAATTTTTTGGTAACAATCGCCGAACACTGTATACGGTTTACTGAGAAGAAAGCTTGGAAAGGAAGGGGAATTTAAGACTTAATCTAGCGCTTCCCGAAAATTTCAAAATTTAAATTATTACTTATGAGCGTGAAAGTGTTTCAGAGTAAGTTTTTTCCTCCACAAGTATCGAGACAAACTCATCATTTCAATAGATGAATGCACGACAGAGAGACTGCCAGAGAATTAGCTGCTTATTCATATATATCTAAATTTGATGCCTCTGATGAGCAAGCTGATTACGAATGTGTACATTATATGGCATCTCCGATGTATGCTTCTATTCATTACACACATCTGTAAAATCTAACACATCCTCCGGCCTATGAAAGTCAGGTGTTAAAGCTTCCTACTAAAAACCACTTAAATTTTATTGACGTTTAATATAACGTTTCCAGAAAGAAGACAAAAGCTTTCGACTCTTCTTAATTTCAAGCAAGTTAAGATTTTCTACTCGGTAATAGTCCGCATAGGCATTCACTATTCTATGTAGTACTTCACCTCCTACAACTCAAAGCTGAGAATGTAATGAAAATTAAAAGTGACTTTAAAAAAAAAGTTCTTATGCAGGAGTAATTCCAAAAAGTAGGCCTGTCACGCATCACACAAAACTAATGCAATCACTATTTGGTGGACCTATTTTCAGTTTAAAATACTAAAACTTTCACTTTATTCTTTTTTTATTATATAGAACAAGACTCATGGAAGCATCTTATGGTCTCATCAAATTCAAGTTTTCACCTTTGCAGTAAATACTTAAAGGTAAAATATTTGAATTCCAAAAAGCTTAGTACTTTTCGGAAGGCCTTTTCAATTCACATTAACGAAGTGTTTTGTACCAAAAGACAAAAAATAAATAAATAAATGAAAGAATAATTAGTTTTAGTTTTTTGGGAGAACCGACTGTGCATATTCTAACTCTATTGCAAAAGTTCTAGTTCGTGTTTTTTCACGACGTCAATTTTCGAAATATTACGAGCGAACCATATAGCAAAAACATGCTTTTTGGAGTCATAGTACAGTTTCATTTAATGCTTTTAAGTAATTACTCATAGATGTTATTCTTGCTTTATTTCGCCTTTTCTTTCGAAGAACATTTTTAATTGCAGTTTGTGCTCGTGTGCCTTGATGTCATTCGGCAAATTTCACATAATTCATTTTGTTAAAAAAATTTACAAGATAGTGAAAAAGAAGGGAAGTCATACTCCGCTTGGGTGGTC